CGCCGTCCCCCGCCACGTCGGCTGCCCTGGTGCGGTCTTCAAGCTGCTGGCCCAGGGCTTACCCACACTGAGCCTGCTGGGCCAGCACCCTGGCCACTGTATCACTTGTCGGCCCAGCGTCTGTCTTCTTAACCTTGATTTAAGCAGATGGCGTAAAGGTTACATTGCTGGACTCCCACACGAGTCCTGGACCCAGGGGAGTTAAAACTCACGCCAGGGAGGCCGGCTGGTGACGTGGTGGTTAAAGGCACCGGACTTTCATGTGGCCGATCACGGTTTGAGTACCAGACCTGGTGGCTTGCATTCTCAGTTTCTTCCCCTCTCTGTCCCCCTCTGGTCAAATTTAAATAAGTTAAGTTAAATAAAGTCATTTTTTTCTGGAGAGGTTTTTTGCTATAGGGCATGTGTGCTTGCCAGAAAGAGAGAGACAGAGAGCGAGAAATCAAATCCCTCCCCGGGGGAATGGCCACGCCACAATCCTTTCTCCTCCATTCTCCTCTCGGGATCTTGGTCATGCACACACACGCGCCCGGCATGAGTTTAAGCCACCGGGGTCCAGGACTTGAACCGAGGTTGACTACATGGGAGTCCAGTGACATAGCCATTACACTAACTGCTGGTCCCTGAATAAAATAATTCTTTAAAAAAAAAAAAAGAAAGAAAAACAAAAACTCATGCTGGACGCGTGTGCATGAGTGCCCAAAATCCCAAGAGGTGAGTGGAAGAGAAGGAATTGTGGTGTGACCATCCCCTCTGGGGGGTGATTTCTCTCTTTTGATGTCTCTGTCTCTCTAGTGAGCGTGCATGCCCTATAGCAAAAAATCTCTCAGGAAAAGAAAAAGTAAACTTCTTTTGGGGCCTGCATGTGGCGTAGTGGTTAAGGTGCTGGACTCCAAATAACCTACTGCAGCTTGGAGTCCGAGACCCAGCAGCTTGAAATTCATGCTGGGGCCCTGTGGGTGCATGCCCAAAACCGCACGAGGGAATGGAGGACTGTGGTGTGGCCACACCCCCAGGGGGATCTCTTTCTCTCAGTCTCCGGTGAGCACATGTGCTCTATGGCAGAAATCTCTTGAAAAACCGAACAAACAAAACGTGGCGTGTTGGGGCTCACACGAGCAACTCTGAGAGGAGCATCCTCGACCTGGCAGCTTGAGCATCACTCTGCGTACATGTCTGTGCCAGATCCCGAGAGTGTGGGAGAAGGGTTTGCAGGGTATCCATCCTCTCTCAGAAGGGATTTCTCACTTCCTCTGCCTCTCTGGACGTCTCTCTCGGAGCACACACGCCCTGTGGCAGGACGTTTTGCAGAGTGCCCCAGCCCAGGGCTCGAGGCTGTTTCTCTTTATGGTGTTTTGCCCTCCTCTGTCCCAGGTGGGGCAGGACAGGGAAAGGTCTGATTATGCTCAGGTGAAAAGAAACAGATCTGAACCCTAGCTGGTTTGGAGTCAGACCCAAATCAAGATAGAGCAGAAGGGAGGGTCAGGCTTCAGGAAGGGGCAGAGGGCCTCCCGAGAAGACAGGGCCAGGGGTGCCCGAGAGGGTCCTCCTCACTGCCCCAAGTGCACAGGCCTGTTTCCACAGGGCCAGGCCTAGAATCATGGTAGACTTTGTTCTTAGAATGACACTCAGGTGGTAAGTTGTATTTATTTATTTATTTGCTGTAGGAAGCGTGTGCTCGCCAGAGAGACAGGGAAACAGAGAGCAAGAACCGCCCCCACGCCGCAACCCCTTCTCCATTCTCCTCTCTGGATCTTGGCCATGCATGCACACGCACCCGGCGTGAGTTTAAGCCACTGGGTCTGGGACTTGAACTGCAGTCGACTACGTGGGAATCCAAGGACATAGCCATTACGCCAACTGCTGGTCCCCAGGTGGTTAAGTTTTAATGCAGTATTTTTATTTTATTTATGTGTTTTGCTAAAGGTACTTGGGGAGGAAAGTGAGAAGTCACTCTCTGGGGGTGGCCAGGCTGCATTCCATTCTCCACTCTCTTCTCAGGCTCCGGGCAGGCAAGCACACATGCCTGGCATGTTCATGCAAACCACCAAGTCCAGCACTCCAGCCCACAGTTGTCCATTTGGGATCCCGACTCCTTAACCACCATACTGCTGGCCGGCCCTACAGTACTTTTAATGACTAGATCTCAGGACTGGCAGGTGGCGTGGTGGTTAAAGGCGTTGGATTCCCACATGGTTGATGTGGTTCAAGTCCCAGACCTGGCGGCTTGCTTTCTCGCTTTCCCTTGTCAAATTGAAAAGTAATGATAATAACAAATGGATTAAATAAATAAGTAATTCTTGTGTGTGTGTATGGGTGGGGGGGATTAGATCTCTCCAGATCAAAAGAAATGTCATCACCTGGGAGTTAATCCACCTGACTCAGACAGCTAGGGCGGCCGTCTTAGGCAGTCATCGATTGGCTTTCTTTGATCAGATTTTATTTAGAAGTGAAGGAGGTAAATAACCCTGTCGGGTCTGGTTTTATTTAATCTTTTAAGTCCCTCTGGAGGGTGTCTCAACGACTGAGTCAGACAGCATTTGCAGCTTCAGGGCAGCAGGTAGGCAACTTGCTGCACGTCCGCGAGCACTCTCAGGGAGGCATCCTGGCCTTGGGACGTCTGGGTGTGACAGATGGGCCCAGAGCTGCCCCTCTGCTTGATAACACGTTGGCCACACAGCCTGCAGAGCCAGCCTGTGCTGACCAGCTGCGCCGTGCTGTGGCATCTGGGGATGAATACTCGGGACCCCACACAGGCGCCACGCTGCCTGGTTTCCTTAAGCGGGCCCACTGACTGCAGAGAGTAGGGAGTTTAGAGTTAAATTTTTGGACCTGCTGGGTTGTTAATGTTGATTTATATTGAGCCAGTTTTCGTTTCTTTCTCTTTTTTCTTTTCTTTTTTTTTTTTGGTATAGGGTGCATGCGCTCACCAGACACAGAGGGAGAGACAGAAAGGAGAAATCACCCCACAGGGGGGTTGGCCACGCCACAATCCCTTCTCCGTTCTCCTCTTGGGATCTTGGGCTTGCATGCACATGTGCTTGGCGTGAGTTTTAAGCCACCGGGTCTGGGACTCAAACCACGGTCGACTACATGGGAGTCCAGTGACATAGCCATTATGGTAACTGCTGGTCCCTTATTTTTCTTTTGTATGAGTACTTTGCTATAGGGCTTGTGCACTCACTGGAGATGGGGTGTGAGCATGCACCCCAGTGAGCTGGCTGCGTTGCGTCCCCTCTGTTCCCTCTCCTCTCAGGACTCTGAGCACACGTGCACATGTGCCTAGTATGCTTGCAGGTCACCAGGTCTGGTCTGGGACTCAGGCTTGCACAGCGAGCTATGGAGACCCACCCACCCCAACCACTACACCTCTGGCAGACCGGAGTCAGTTTTCCAGATTGATTCCATGGAGGGGCCACCTTCATGAGCTTGACACACCCGGCTTCCGCCAGCCCTGGGCCGTAACAGCGTGGTCCCTGGACGCATGACTCTGAGAGGGAGCATTTTACTGTTGCACCACCATCTGTCCCCACTGATGGGTTTGTTTTTTTTTTGCCAGAGGGTACACGCACTCCCCAGAGCTGGGAGGAGAGAGAATCACTTCCCCGTGGGGTACGGTCAAGCCTCAATCCTACCTCCTCCATTTGTCCATCTCGTTGGGGTTTTGTGCACACACACGTACCCAGTGTGTTTTTCAAGCTGCAGGGGCCAGGATTTGAACTGTGGCTGGCCATGTGGTAGCCAGCTCCCTTAACCAAGAGGTCACTGGACCACCGCAGTGAGCTACTTTTAGCACGCGGGGTACCGCCAAGTCTTATGTGTCTTTCGTGCCGGGTAAGAAGCCCCAGATTCGCTTCATGGGCCCCTGTGAGCCCTGCGCCAGGGACTCAGCCCAAGAGCAGGGAGAAGCCTGCTCCGAGTGGCTGCAGAGGGCCCTGGGAGCGAGAGGATCCCATTGAGGCTGCTGTTAAACAGTGATTTCAGGAGGATGTTTGCGTCCTTGGGTGAGTGCTCACGGGGTCCTGCAGGCTGGCTGTGGCTGGGACGGGTACCTCCCTCTGCAGCAGGCACTTACAGGGAGGGTGTGTGGCAGGTGCAGTGGCTTCTCAGCAGTGGGGACTCAGATGCCCCATCCTGAAGTGGAAAGGTGACTTGGGGGCATACTAATGCCACAGAGGGTAGTGTTCTGCAAGGCAGTGACCTGTGGGGATGCTCAAGTCTTGGGGCAGGAGGCCGCAGAGCATGCCAGGTATGCTCCAGGACTTGGCGGGGGAGGGAGGTGCCTGCCCCGCCCCCCCCAGCCGCTGACTTGCTTGCTCATGAAAAAAAACTTTTTTGAGAGATTTTTGCTCTAGGGCACCCGCGCTCCCTAAAATGATAAGAGGTAAGAACCCTCTCCCCCCAGGGTGATAGCCATGCCACAATCTCTTCTGGGATTTTGGGCACGCATGCATGCGAGCTGGTGTGTTTCAAGCCACCAGGTCTGGGACTGGAACTGTGGTTAGCCACGGGGGGAGTCTAGTGCCGCAACCATTACACCTCCTGCAGGCCCCCAAAATAAACTAGGGGAGGGAACCAGCAGTTAGCGTAATGGCTATGTTGCTGGACTCCCACATAGTCGACCGCGGTTCGTGTCCCGGACCCGGTGGCTTAAAACTCATGCCGGGCGCGTGTGCGTGTGTGCCCAAGATCCCAAGAGGAGAATGGAGGAGAAGGGATTGCGGCGTGACCATCCCCCCTGGGGGGTGATTTCTCGCTTTCTGTCTCTATGTCTCTGTCTGTCTGGCGAGCGCACGCGCCCTACAGTGAAAATCTCTCCCAAATAAATAAATAAATAAATAAACTAGGGGAAAAAAGGGAGGGAACAGCAGTTAGCGTAATGGCTATGTTGCTGGACTCCCACTTAGTCGACTGTGGTTCGCGTCCCGGACCCGGTGGCTTAAACTCACGCCGGGCGCGTGTGTGTGCCTGCCCAAGATCCCGAGAGGAGAATGGAGGAGAAGGGGTTGCGACATGGCCATCCTTCTTGCTTTCTGTCTTTGTGTGGTGAGCGCATGTGCCCTATAGCAAACCCCCCCCCAAAAAAAAAAAAAAGTAAAAGGATGATTTCAAGCACAGTTCTGCTCAGGTTGGAAGGAGGCAGGGGCTTGGGGGTTGTGCGCAGGCTGGTGTGAGGATGGCACCTGTGGGGCAGGGTGGAAGCAGGGCACTTCCCTGATACCACAGACCTTGATGGGAGCCGGGTCGCGTTGCTGTGCTCCCCTGCACAAGCTACTGCTTAGTTCCCCAGACTCACGGAAGCCACAGAGGTGTCCTCTCGGCACCAGGCTCTGCAGAGGGTGCCTTCCGGGCGCAGGGCAGTGTCTGCAGCCTGCACTACAGCGGTGGCAGTGGGCCCTTGAGGCTGCACATGGGAAGTGGCCCTGCCTGTCCACTCACCTCACCTCACCTTACCGATGGTATGTCTGCGGGTCTAGGCCCAGGCCTGTGAGGTCAGGTCAGGCCTTTCTACGGCCTCTCAGGTACAGGTCCCAGGGTCTGAGGGCTCCCCTCCAAGCAGCACCTGCTGGGAAGGGAGCAGTTCTTCCCGCCTTTGGCAGTCTGGGGGGATCCCGACCTCTGGCTCCCCAAGACAGACAGCCAGGTGGCTGCTTGGCATGCCTCACCCGCCTCACACTCTAAGCCATGTCCCCCTGCCCACAGGCAAGGTGCCCGGTGATGACTGCCCGCTCGTCTGGGGCCAGTGCTCGCACTGCTTCCACATGCACTGCATCCTCAAGTGGCTCAATGCGCAGCAGGTGCAGCAGCACTGCCCCATGTGCCGCCAGGAGTGGAAGTTCAAGGAGTGAGCCCGGACGGGACGCTGCGGGGGTGAGCCGAGGACGGCAGCTGCGTGTGCTCCCATCACAACGTTGACACTTTTATCCAATAAGTAAAATTCATGAAATCACCCAAGCTTTGCTGGAGGCCTTTGGGCGCCTGTTTTCTTGGCGTGTTGATGCTGCCAGGCTGTTCTGATATGAAAACTCTCATGAATAAACATCTCTAAGGTGCCACAAGGCCAGCCCCAGAGCCTGAGTCACCACTGTGGGAGGGGGGACGCAGGATCAGAGGAGCCTGGGCGTCTGAGCAAAAGCCCTGGGGGTGTGTGTGTCAGCAGGGGAGACATCCCCCCCTGGAGCTGACCCTCAGCCGGCAGGATGGCCCTGTGGGTGCGGTGGTGCCGACGCTGCTATGGGCTGTCGCCCGGTCCCTCCGGTGTGGACTGAAAGACAGCTTCTAGTGGGCCGGGACTCCCCACTGCAGAGACCAGTGTCTAATGTTAGTGCCTTCCTGCCCAGGGGACCCCTCGGAGGCTTCTGTGGGCAGTAGCTGCTGGGTGGGTGGACAGGGCTGCAGGTGGTGTCCTCGGCACGCACGTCTCACTGTAGCCCAAGCCCACCCTAGGGGTCAGTGTGTCGTGCACAGGTGGCACCCTGCCGGGCCTGGGAGGACACAGCTAAGACACACCTTGGCCGGGACAGCTGTGTCCTGATGAGGGGTGCCATCGAGTGAGTGGGGTGGCAGGTCCCCCACCCGGGGAGCAGTAGGGTGTGTCTGTAGGAGCCCAGCCTCTGTGGACATGCCTTTTTTTTTTCTTGAGAGAGATTTGTTACAGGGCACACACGTTTGCAGGATACAGACAGCAGGAAGTCACCCCCCAAGAGGGATGGCCACGCCACAACCCCTTCTCCAATCGTGCCAGGTCTGGGGATGCACTGTGCCTCCAGAATGAACGTAAGCCACCAGGTCAGGACTCCACCCCCGTCGGCCACGTGGGAGTCCAGCCGTGTAACCACTACTCCATCCACTGGTCCTGGACATGCTTGTTTATGCCACACCCACCCCACCCGCATTTCAGCTGGCCCAGATCCCTATGTGAGGCCTAGGACCTCCCGTGTGGGCCCAGGCTTGGCTCTCAGACCCTGCATGTGTGGCTATAGCCACCTCCTTCCCCGCCACTCCAGCTCCTGTTTTTTTCGCTTTCTCCACCCTGGGGCGGGGCACACACCCAAGTCCCCCCGAGCCTGTCCTGGGCATGTGCTCCACCCACATCGTTCGGCTTCCTTCCTGGAAGCCAGCCCCTGCAAGGCCACCCCTCCCAGGCTGCAGAGCTCCAGAGAAGGGCCCAGCCACTGCCACCCACCCTGCCACAAGCTCCGTCTCCCCTCAGCTGCACTCCTAGGCCCTGGCATGTGGTCCTGTGCAGTCCACCCCGTGCCTGCCCACTGGGAGGGCCCACCTGTCCCAAGTGCAGAGCAGGCTACAGGCCGGGAGAGCCCAGGCGTGTCTGGCCTTCCTGAGGTGAGGCCTGGCCCTGCTGCCCTTCTGCTCCCAGAGGACCCGCAGTAGTGGCCCATTGTCTAGAGCCTTCCCCTTGAGCATGAGACCTGCTGACCTACAGGCCTCCCAAGGACCTTGTCGCCTTAGGTCCAGCAGCCCTGGGGCCAGTGCCCCTTTAGGTGAGAGATACCTTCCCCTGGGCACTGCCTGGAAGGGTGAGACCTAGGGCCTGGTGTTCTCGGTCAGGTGGGGGTTCAGTGTGGCCCGGCCCTCCCCTGCCCAGTGGACGCCGCACTCGGGCAGATCCTGCGGGTGGGTGGGAGGTGCACCACAGGGCCTTGGCCTCCCTCCCGC